TTTTCTTTTACAACTTTGTATGGCCTTTGTGGGTCGATTCTATTTTTCTTATATAATTGTCCATTAATTAAAATAAAGTATTGAGATTTTCGTTTTATCATTTGTTGTTGTTCTTTGGTGAGATATTTTGGCATATTAAAATCTGTTAAATATTGTATGAGTGAGAAGTATGTTCCTGAATCCATTATATCAATTTAGAATTATCTGTTAATGTTATCCAAAAATAAGTTAAATCCAATTATGTTGTTTTAAATTTATTATATACTAGTATTCTATTCGACTTAATGTATCTACGTTTGAGTGTTGTTTGCTGGGTCAATTTATAATATCAAAGTCAAAGGAGTTTAAAGTCATAATCCATCATCCAAGTTTGCCAACAGGGTTTGCATTATTTTTCAAATACACCAAAGCGGAGTGATCAGTAACAACAACGAATTTTGTCCATGTAGATAGTGGTTAAAATATCGAATCGCCCAAATGACAGCGAAACATTCAAGTTCCGTAATCGTATAGTTTCTTTCATGCTTGTTAAGAGTCTGACTAGCATATGCTATTACATGATCTTTTGAATCTTTTCCTTTTTGCGCTAGAATTGCTCCTAAGGCGAATGTAGAAGCATCCGTATATAATATGAAAGCTTTATCGAAATCCAGATATACCAAAATAGGTGGGATCGTTAGATACTTCTTGAGTTTTTCAAAAGCATCATGTTGAGCCTTAGTCCATTGATAGGGTACATTTTTATTAGCAGCCGATGCAATGGTTCAACAATGGCAGAAAATCCTTTAACGAATTTCTGATAATATGAAGCCAAAGCTATGAATCCTCTAAGTTGGGTTAAATTTTTAGGTATTGGGAATTCGCTTATTACTCTTAGCTTTTCGGGATCTGTTTGAATACCTTATCCACTTATCACATAACTAAGAAATGGTAATTTACTCTTAAAGAAGAAACACTTTTCGGGACTCAATTTTAAACCGGCGTTTCTTAACCTCAAGAAGACTTGATCAAGATGTAAAAGGTGTTCGTCGAAAGTCTTGGAGCCAATGTTGATGTCATCCAAATACACAACTACATATTGCCACAAAATATCCCTTAAGACAGTATCCATTAATCGTTGAAAAGTGGCGGGAGCATTGC